AATTCGGACCTGACCGAAAGCTAATGAATGTATCGGACGTGACAGAGAGCTATACTTCCTTTTAACCAATAAGAATGCGATTAGAAATATCTCAACAACAACTTAAGATCCTTACAAGGTATCTGACCACCCAGTACCTTCACACAAAATGTACAGCGATTGCTCATGCTTTCAATGTAGAGATAAACCCTAGCAATGACCATTCCTCTATTAGGGCAGTTTCCAGTTGTCTGAGACTGCCTGGAAGAGGTAAATGTGCAGACGGAGAACACCCAAGGCTAACCCAAATATTTTCAATGAGATTAGGGAAGGGTAATTACGGTAACCACTCCATATGAGGAATTATCTCTCCCTCATGATACTCATTAACGATGCTGACAAGATGGGAATGGGCATATCATCTATAAGAAAGAAATCAGGAGCTTCATCCCGATACCGCACAGACGTTACAGAACTATCTTCGAAAACGTGCAGCTGAGTACGGTATCCCATTCAAATTTCAGCCCGCATTATGATGCTGTTCCCTCTGAATGCGTGATGTTCGATGGTGTTCTGGGTGTCTAATTCTGGGTGCTTCATTCTATCCAGATCCTTACACGTTTACCAACTCATTTCACTTCAAATCTGAACTCGTCCGTGAACAGAACGTTGTGTCAATCTGACACAGTCCATTTGAAATGTTGACGACACCCCTTTATTGTGCTCCCTCTGGATTGGGCTCTTAATGGAATACAAACACTTAGTACTCCGGCGTATAGTCCTTAGAAGCCATCGGCGAACAGCGTACTGTCTCACCAAAGTAATGCCGCAGCCATGGATGTAACAGTTGTGAAAGTCGCTCGCTTGGTCGCAATATACTAATCTTCAGAAGAGACGGTAACTCTTGATCGACTGGATATAAGTCTCCGGAAAATTGTTTGATTTGTTTGGAATTATTTATATATTTATTATTGAATAATCAATACCAAGAAAAATAGCGATATGTTTCACTGACTGTCCTGCTTCAATGTATCCAACAGAACACCAGCTCTCACTGTCTATCATTCATCTTATTTCAGCCATAGAAATACAAATATGATTAAAACGTATCCTAGAAATTTATGAACACTTCGTATCACCATCTAAATAAACCTCTGCAAACTCTTCAGAATGCTAGTTTCTTTAATCAGTGCCTAGTTAGCATGTGTATGGACAGTGAATCTTTATTGTTTGCAACGTACGATATTTGCATATTACCATCTGCATACACAACACATTTCAGCAACTCATATTCAACGACCCTTTCAAAAATTACTAATTTGCATCGTGTGCTTGACCTTTGGAATTAGCTGAATTTAAGCTGAACTTTAAAATTAGCTGAATATTGTTATTATTCTAATCTAATCAAAAGTTTCACTTTGATTCTAAAATATCTTCTAACTTACTCCAAATATCATCGTCAAATCCCATACACATATTTGTTTATGTTAATTCTACTCGTTAAGAAAGATCTCAACTTTTTTCGGATTAAACAGCATAAGGAAAAAAAAATTCAGACTAAGATCTTTAATTATTTGACTAAATTTTGCATCTCTGATGACAAAAATTAGAAAAATGTTCTCTTATTTATCATTATAGCAGTCCATGGGTTTTGATTAAGTGTTTGGGATTTTAGCATTACTCAGTATTTATCATTTTGTTATTTGTAGTCTAAACGGGCTATACAGTTGAACAAATCTTTCTTTTAATTAAATTTCTTTTAATTAATTAATAACAGCAGCCTATACTTGTAGTTTCTTTCTGTCTGTCTTTCTCCATATAAATAAAAATTAACAGTAAATTTGAAATTAATATCCAATTACAGTGAAATAGAGCAGCAAAGAAAAAAAAAAGAAAAAAAAAAAAAAAAAAAAAAAGAAAAGCCACCAAAGCGTAAACTGCCACTGCATAAAACTCAGTTGTAGAACTTTATTAGATACATATAAATATTTGGCTATGTCCCTTCCTGTCTTAAAATTAATTACATCGTCTCAAAATTTATCCTGTAGTGCGACAGCTCGCATCCAATAGCAACTCCAGAATTTTAACAAAGTCAATAAATACCACTGCTACTACCGCGCAGGTATTTTTTTCCCTGCTTCGCCTTGTTGCTAGCCACATAAAGTTTGCTTTCTTCTTCGTCCTTTGTCTAAGAAGATGTAAGCTGTATAAAATATTGGAGTGCATAATGCACCCATAAATGATGCCGTTCGAATCCTTATGCATATCAAGGCTTGCTCTACCACGAATATAAAATTATGCGTTCAAATCAGTGGTCTGAAAGCTTTACTTTCTGCGTTCTCACATTTTAAGTATAAGCGCAGTTGTTTAGCTGTTTTTTTTTTTTTTTTTTTTTTTTTTTTTTTTTCAAATCCTCAGGTCATCTTGTAGAGACATTAGGTATTTTTTTGGAAGCAGAAATGAAAAATGAGCAATGTACTCGCCGAGACTCGAACCACGAACCTCGATGCGTCGAGCGGCTGACCAATTACCACAAGGCATGTAAGAGCGAGAGAATACTTATAATCTGTTGAATTATTACACACATATATATGTATATAATATATATATATATATACGAGGTGACTCAAAAATATCTGAAAAAATGTAAAAGCAGGTAGATGGAACCAAAATAAGGAGATTTTTGCAAAGGAATATGTGTGTGGAATCGGAGCATTGAGGTTCTATGTGCTGCTGTTGAGGCAGTATATAAAAGCGTTCTGCCAGCGTAAAACGTCATTCCACGTGCAGTTTCTAGCCGTAAGCATCGGTACACGAAGGCGAAACTCATCGACATACATTTTCCATACTATATGCTGAGAGGCCAAAATAGAGATATCCTCTATAAATGCACTGATCAAATTTTAGCTTTGAGTATAGCGCATAATCTTTTAGACAAGGACTCAACAAGATGCTGATATCTTTACTGAGAAATATATCCCCATAATGATATAATGTCAGCTCTAATTTTATTCGGATTGGACGGGGGTTTTCCCAAGCTTGGAAGTGATCGTTCCACTTTGTCCAACAAAGGCTGAATACGACTGAGATTAGAAGAATGATATGGCCATGGAAGCAATCTTAACTCCAAAAAGAAGCAAGTTCTATTTTCTTCAAGCCAATATGTAATTGATTGTACACGGTGTCAAGGCCTATAGTCGCAATGAAAGTGCCTATCTACGTTAGGGAAAATCGCAGCCATAAACGAAGATACACGAATCGGTAATGATAAGGAGGTAAGCTGTGTGGTTTAGTACTATTTCCAGATATAAAGGTACCCACCTCACTCCAGGAAGATATTCACGAAACCATAATTCCATGGCTAACAGCTTGAAAATTTGTTATTGGGCAAGAGTAGTCCATAAATTCGTTCTGTTTGTGTGATATTTTGACTCTGTCATGCGCATGATGCAAGAGGAAACGAGGTCCCATAGCAAACGTGATTTCCTGTTTATCAATGATAGCATGGGCATGGTGATCAGGTTATCAATTTTTTAATTTTTAAATTAACAGTAAAATTGTATATACTGCTGCGATTTAAATCGTCATGAGCAAATCCTATCCAAATTGTTGGTGATGTCAAAATCTTGATTCGAGCATCTACCATCAGTCATAAAGACGTTCCTGGGCCCTCAAAGCCCTGCTGGCCCTACAGAATGAGGAAATGGTATTTCATTTACATCAGGCTCCTCTCTGGATCATTAGTGATGTGCTGGATCACCTAAAACGAAAAAAGGAATAACAATTCGTTTACAGTGCATTCACACCAATCTGTGGGTTACTTTCTCTATATGGAAGAAAAATATCAATATTTTAATTACACCTTTCTGTTTTTGACATGATTACAGTTTAAATGCAGGTACCATACGTCACCTTTCTCATTTGAAATTTTCGAATGCGATTCAAACTAACAGCTGTGATAGATAAACTTTTTAAAAACTAGCGCTTTCTTCCCATTACCCATGTTCAGCATATATTTTTAGTTCCGTTAAAGGGTCAAAAAAGTATTTCCAGTATCGCCCTGTTAAAGGCAGACATTTGTTTTTAACATTAGAAGTACTAGCATTGAATGCATATCTGATTTTAACCATCTAAAAGCTGTTATTTTGAAAAGTTGATAATTTTAGGGTTAAATATTTAAAAAAAGTTCTTGTTTCCTTGTTTTAAAAATTTGTTTAGGTACCAGTGGCACTGCTGAGTCTTACTCTGTTGGGTAAAGACGTGTATTTAAAGATATTTAGAAGAGGAGATATCAATCAAAATAAAGATGGATGTGAAAGTGAGAGTTCAGGTTCGTTGTTTCAGCATTTTTCATTATTTTAATAACGTTATTGGCTAGAATATTGTGATTTCTACATTTTTCATTAAGTATATTGTGAAAAACATTAAAATGCGAATGTAAATAAATGCTCCCTCTCCTAACTGACAAAATAAACGACTATCTGTATAGTATATCTCTTGCAAATTATCTGTTGCTTTTAAAATGAGCCATCAGAACTTTTCTGAACTGTTCACTGCTGTAAGATTTAAATCAGGCTTTCCCTTTGTCAGAATTTTAATAATCTCAGATATGTTTTGGCAGTTCAGTATTTATTATGGCAGTACAATTTATACATTGCAATTACAGACTGCAATTGCAATGGATGTCAGCATTTTCATGGTCCTAATACAATATCCATTTTTATTTCAAATATAAATACGGAGTGTGTATTTTAGACTAATAAAAGTATGATTTTGCATTCGAAAATTTAACAACCATTATAATACTGATCAAAATAAATTATAACATTAATATCTGAATTAATTTTTGTCAGATGCTTTTTCAATTTATTCCGAATTTCGAGTGCATTAATTCAGTTTCATGATATACATTTAAATATAATTAAATTTAATTCTCGAGTTTATCAGTTTTTGATCTGACCTAGTTACTGAAGTTTTTTTATAATTCTGCTTCTTTTTGTTGCTTTTTTTAATTGAATGCTTTTAAAATAAATGAAAACATTTCTTGTGATTTTAATTAAATATCAGGTTGTCCGGAAAATAATGCAGGTTTTTGCAATTGTTTATCTTTCCTGTACATTTTTAGAAACCAAATATTTGAATTACATTGGTTTATATATCATTTTGAAGCTCTATTTTTTTTCGCTCTATATTTCTATAATGATCATTTTGTTTCAAATTATTTTCAAAAATATTTCACTAAGGTGTTTTTGTTACATTGTCATACGGAATTTTCTGCAAATTACTTTTTATGAGTACAACAGGCCCACGCGCAGCACAAACTGTCGAAATGTCAATGAGTATGGTGAGAAAAGTGTTAATGAATCTCCAGTTCAACTGTGAATACCAAAAATTGTCGTCGCGAGAATTTGACCTGGCAAATTCAAAATCTCGCGTGGACGCTTTTCAAGCTGTTGATGACCACGATTTGAAGACTTTAGTTGAAACAAACCCGTGCATAACTGTTCGAGAGCTGGCGTAGCCAAAACGATTTCTGATCCGCTTGAATCGATAGGAAAGTCAAAGAAGCTCGATAAGTGGGTGCCCTCACGAATTGATACAAAATCACAAAAAAAAAAAACAAAAAAAAAATCGCCGTTTTGAAGTGTCGTCTGCTCTTCTTCTTCGCAACAAAGACAACCTTTTTCTTGATCGAATTGTTATCTGCGTTGAACTTGGATCTCTCCAACAACTGTCGACTTCGGCTCAGTGGTTTGGACAGCATTCAGACACCACAACACTTCCCAGTCAAATTTGTACCAAAATAAATTATGGTGACTGTTTTGGTGGTCTGAGGCCGTTCTCGTCCACCCAGCTTCCTAAAGCCGGGGCGAAACGATTACATCAGATAACTTAACACAACTGTCACAATGCAAGAAATTCACCAAAATTGCCACGCATGTGCTTCGCATTGGTCAACAGAAAGTGGCCAGTTCTTCTCCATGACGATGCTTCGCCGCACGTCGTGGCGAACTGACCCTACAGAATTGGACTAATTGGATGTCGAGTACTCTCCGCGTACCTACCACCAATTCGCCTGACCTCCTCGCCGACCATTACCCTTTTCAACATCTGGATAACGTTCTGCAGGAGAAATGCTTCAGAAACCAAGACGAGTCAACAACAACCTTTGACACTTACTCGCGTCCTAGAACTCCAGAATTTTACTCTACCGGCATATAAACTTTATTTCTTGGCAAAAATACATTGATTTCGGATGGGCTTATTTTTGAATTAATAAAATTGTTTTTGAGTTGAGTTATGATACTTTAAGATATAGGTTAAAAACCTGCATTATTTTCCAGACAACCTAATAATGTTATTATTATTATTTAATAATAATTCATATACTTAAGCTCCGCCTATACTAATTTTTTGGTTCTTAATTACTAGCTTTTTCCAAAGTAAGAACTAAAAAATAAATATGACTAATCCGTGAGGCCGTTTAAAGAACTGAGATGTTTCTCAAATTTTAAATAGAAATGCCCACTTACTTCTTATAGTATATGTTTCATCATGCAATCTCAGTTATTTATAGTATATTATTCATAAATCTTCACAGAAATCTGTTTTTCCATGTTGAATGCTTTATGTTACGTCATAGTATTTACCTGGTTAACCTCATCTCAAATCACGCAAGATCCGGTTGTAATTCGCCGTTGCTAGGGCTTTAATGTATTTTACCCTAGTAACAAGTACTTGCATTTTGTGCAGTTTTACTTAAGAGTAATGAATAAATTTATTATTCAGTATTTACCACCATTCTCGTCCTTTTAACAGTTTTTTAGCTTATAAAATTTAATGTATTGAAGTTGTTAAATTTTTCGGTTCGATGAAATTTTCCAACAACTGCGCAACGCCAATTAATCTATTTAACGGTAAAATTTATTCATTTATATTTTGCATCAGAAATAAGAGCTGTTGGAAGTACTGCCTCTTAACATTCAGAAATATATTCATGAGATAAATAAACGATTTTACAAATAAACGATGTTATGTTTAACTAATTTCTATTTTTCTTTTGGTTCTTTTCTGATAAAACTCTCTGCACCTTATTTAGTAGCTAAATTGTTTAGTCCCTCTGTACTGTTTTCGATGTGACGATGAAAATGAAATAAGTTCTAAATTTTATCTTAGTTCAAGAAAGACTGAGCAACTGTTAATAATGTTTCATGAAACTTCCGTTTCTTCAAAAGAAACACTTTTACTGGTTATCTCAGATATTAAGAAATTAAGAGTATCCCAAGGATCATGAAGGTAATTATAAAGCTTCCAGAAGGTTGGAAAAAACTGTTAGAATAGGATGAAAACTTATGTTCACGTAAATCCTTACCCGGCTATTTTTGTAAACATTGCTCGCAGACATATAATTCTGAATGCAACAGTGTTTCAAATGACGCAAATATTCATGCTTTGGCACTTTTAAATAAAAATAAATAAAGAAAGAAAGAAAGCAGTTTTGCCAAATTACGAAATCTAGTTTCTTATACTTTTCCACGGTCCTTATTCTTATATTTAGGAAAATTTTACACTTACTGTAAAAAGTTTGGCTTGGTTTAGTTTAATTACGACAAAGCACACGAGGGCTATCTGTCTAAGGAGAGAGTTAGCCTTCGTCGAGGACTTTCTAAGGGAAACTTGCTCGTATACACGTTAGAAATGGAGAAAGCCACGAAAGCACCCATGCCGCCAGTCCGTTGCCCGAGATTCGGGCCCCGGACCGCCATACCAGTACTCAGTGACTTTATTGTTCGGCCGCTGGTGGGCCCTTATCATTAAAAAAAAAAAAAAAAAAGAATACAAGAAGTTTGATTCTCGTTTCTCAAAACTAACTGAGATATTTTATTTTAAAAGTGGAGATCGTATTCAGGGCCCCACATATTCAGGGGAGTGAAATATATGCATTTGTACGTAACTAAAAATAAAAAAATCCGTTTAGAAAAACGTTTCTGAAAGTAACAGCTTAAGAAATAAGCTTTTCTACGCATATATATTGCCGTGAAAAGTTTTGATCATTGTCAATTCTTTTCAAAAAATAGGTCTGATTCACAAAATCATAGAACTCGTGTTGCAGGAAACATCGGCAGGCTTCAATATTGGCACATAGCCAACTGGTAACCTTATTTGCTCTATTAAATCTACTTCTAGTTTAACGATCTTTTGCCCCACCAGTGGCGGCCGAGTATTTACGAATACTGAATACTGCTAAATCAACCATTTTTGGGATCGATCCCAGGCGAACGGATCGGCTGCATAGCTGGTTTTCGTAGGTTTCCCTTTCTGTAACGCGAACAGGAGCAAGTTTCCATTAGAAAGTCCTCCCCGAAGGCATTCATCATCTTAGGCAGATAACCTTAGTGACTTTGCGATATTCCAAAAAAAAAAAAAAAAAAAAAAAAAAAAAACCTAACTCAATGAACTTTTTATTATTGTTAGATAAAGATTTTTAAGTAATAAAACTTCATGAGAATATTAATAACGTATTTACAAAACTATAAATTAAAGAATATCACATATTAGTAAATCACAAAAGAATATCACCAAACAGCATTTAAGAGGAAAACAATTCACAACCTCCGAATTATTTTAATCTATTTTGTTAACCAACACTTCAGGTAAGTTAGAAATGATGTCAAGTATACGAAATTTTGAAATTATATATATCTGTCAATTTTTATCGCACGGGAGTTAAACATTTTGTTTTTCATTTTTAATAATGATTACGAAATTGTGCTGAATACAAAGTTGGGAGGCCCGCATAAAAAGTTAGACTTGGTAATTTTTCATAAAATTGATTTTTGTAAAATTTAAAAATGCCCTAACATGAATCTTTAAATCAATTAAAACATTTTTTGTAACTGAAAGTTTATGTCTAGGACTAACGGTTGCTAAAATAAAGGCCGAATAAGGACTTTTATGAACACAGTAAGTAGTAGAATAACTAAAACAGACTTTAAAATTTTGAAGAAATTTGTGTTCATTGTGATCTTAAGGCAGCATTTTTCAGAACAACCCACTGAGACCAAATATATAAATGTGCTCTGAACTCGTTTTGAAGCAACCGGAATTTCGTGACATCTGGGTTGTATCAAAATCTCTTTTGACATTAATCATAAATGACGCATCCTAGACATAGCTATATGTCAAAGTTTTAATTCTCATATATGAAGAAACTAAAAATGTTCCAGGGATTTAAAAGCAGAGTTATTGGTGTGTACTGGACTTACCTTTTGCTTGTTTCACTTTGGCATCGGTGTCTGCCCCCCCCCGGAGATCCATTTTCCCAGTTTGACAAATAACCCTTGTATTTCCTCTTCTATACGCATTAATTCTAAATTTATCTACAAAAAGTCCATTTGGAGACAAGCCAATGTATAGCTGACTGAAGATTTAATACTTTCGTTTTTGTTTATCTGCATTAGGGGTTTAGAGGCATTGAATGTGAAAGTGGGTCATTCTAAAATCCTTTTGTCATCTCTGTAAAGTGAAGTTTCAAAGTGAGATTTGTATCGTTTTTAGAATTCAAGATCAGATACATGAATGAGGGATTTTAGTTTTTTAATTATTTTGGTACTCATTTTTACATCTTTATTAAAGAATGCATAAGGAAATATGAAATAATATTAGCTCATCAAAGCTTCTAAGAATACTTTAGTCATCCAGTGGCAATGAAAACATTATGATTTTTGTTTCACCCCTTAGCTAGGCATGATCTTTTATTTAAAATATGCACTGTGACTTGTAGAGTTAAGTACATCTTTCGTGAATTTAAAAATGAGATAATCGTAACGTAATATAAATGAGACAAAAAGTAAAACACATAATTTTAACTTAGACAAGATCATTCCACTTTAACGAATAGTGTAATTTTATTTTTCCGACTTTTCTGTCAGAAGTATTTAATTTCAGAAGTTTTAAACTGCTGACTTTTGCTTCTGGTTACAATCAAGCTTCTGTTTGAGAACTGCTTTTTAATTGTTTTAAAATTGCCTCTAAATTGTCTTCTTTTCAATAATGATTTTAAACCGAAAAAAAGAGAAAATAAATAATACTTCTTGTATTATACGTATATTAAATTTTGCACTGCGAAACCTCTTAGCTAATATAAATATTTTATAGCTTTACGTTTTATTCAATAGATAAGGCAGTGCTACAGTGATTTTATTTGTCGATACTTGATTTCAAACCTTCTGGTCACTGACCCATCAACTTTGAAATTTCTTGTCACTGGCTCATCATCCGGGGGGATGACGTCATTCTTTCCCGATTTTCTATAGTTTGAGTTACTCTTTTCAGTCTGTAGTCCTTCTACGATTTTCTTACTGCATTTGATTTTGTTATTCTCTATATGCACTTTCTGAATCATATTAACGGTGGCTTGTTTCGCCTTCTCTTTCTCTATTTAATAGCTCTATTATTTCATTAGTGTAATATTCTTTTTCTTCTCTCTGTGTCTTTACTCTTCTCATTGAAAGAAAGAAATCTATTGCATAAAACATTTGCTATATTGTCTTTTACCTCTCCCAAAAATGTTACATTGAAGTATGCAGCCTTACACTTTGCATTTATTTTTGCTCTTCGAATCATACTGGAATGCGAATTTTTACTTCTTTTCCATTTTGTACTTGGATTTTGAAAGTTTCAAGTTAAATGTTATATTTAAGCATACTAAAATTGTTAAAGAATTATTAAACGGAATAACTTTAAATAATATCTTTTTATTCAATAAATGTTTAATTCTATTACCCAAAAGAGTGTGTCTTAATCATGTTTTTCCTCTTATTTTACCTTTTAATAATAATTATTTACCTATTTATACTTTTTCAGCACCCAGGATTCCAACAGATTTTTCGGAAGAAAAATTCGATACAAATCCTGTGCCACCTTTACAAACCATTCTTATCACATTTTTGTGCGCATCATTAATGTTTCTCTATGATGGCCTCCAAGTAAATCGACCATTTTTCTTCAATCCCTATTGCATGTTAATTGTGCATATTTTACGTGAATTATTTATTTACTAATCATTTCCATCCTTTGCAATTGTTCCATGTTTATATAGTCTTTCCTTTACAAAGGGAGTTAGTCTAAACAACAGCAACGAAGTTAATGATTAATTAATTGTGCTATTACTGAAAATATGTTCGTTGTTCAAGAAACAACTTTTGACAATAGAAAATAGATTTTGTTTAGTCACAAACATGGCGACAAATTTAATTATAACATTCAGAAAAATTTAGCTTCATTTTAAAGAAAATACCTTTACTTTATGTTTATTAGAAAACTTAAAAGTTAATGTTAAAAAACAGGCATAGAGTCATTTGTTTTTTTAATGCTGAAGACGTGAAAATATGCAGTGCCGTCACCGGGATTCGAACTCCAAACCTCCCGAATACACGTCGAGTATGTTTCTAGTTACACCACGAAAGCATGCGGGAGAAAATACCATACTTACTCCCCCTTTTAAAGGGCGACTGGGGGTGAAGGGACACAATCGTTAAATTCTGGTGGTGATGAATTGTAGTCCACCTTTTAGTTCGAGCGCCAGTGTAGAATTATTAGTTTTTTCCATGCTGGAGATGTGAAAAATGTGCAAGGCCTCCGCCAGGATTCGAACTCCGGACCTCCCAAATACGCAAGTGTGCTTCGATATAATATTATTCGATGCAATAATCGAGTATGCTTCCAGTTACCCACGAAGGCATTTGGAAAGGAAGCGAGAAAATACATTCTAAGCGATTGCACGAAACAAGAAATTCAAAAACCTTATTTTGTATTGCTCACTTTTACTAAAGATATAAATTTTAAGCTAATGTTTTATCACGACATATACTACAGACTAGACTGTTGCATTAATTATTGTACTTATGATAAACTTAAAAAAATCCAATAATTGCTGTAATCAAAAATACATTTTTATGGACGCATAAAGAAGTAAATTCCTCTAGTTCATACTTTTTATGATTATTTTTGTACTTTATTTTATGTTTTTTATGCTTCTTACTCTTATACTTTATACTTACTACTAGGTCCAAGAGTAAGCACCAGTCTAAGGACGATTGTAGGTTGATTAATTCAAATACGAAAATGAAAAGATCTTAAGTTTCTGGTATTTGCAAGAATTCGTTCCCAAGAGTATTTATATGGTTTGCAGTGTACCATCAACTGATATGAGATTTCCAGCATCTGAACTCTCTTGCTTCTGGATTATACTTCTACTTCCCTGTATAGACTTTCTTTTTATTTTGTAGATGATGTTTTCTAATAGTTTTACAACTTTCATTATATTGTAAATTTTATTTGCCCATTGTAAAATTGTCAATACTATCTTGTAAACTACTAAGCTTTCGATTTAACACCGTGGTACATCGATTTTGGAATATTCAGTCTTGAAATTTTTCTCTAGAATTTCAGTAGATGCTAAAAAATGAATGTAGAAATAACAATTTAAAAATTTTAAAACTAAAGGTTAAAGATTGCAAATAAATTTCAAAAGAATATAAGCATCTGAAACCTGAAACAACAAAAGCAGGCATTCCTCCTGATCATAATTTCTTCGATTGGGATGAATCTGCCCAGCTGACTCTTGTTATAATAAACCCTCGCATTTTACGAAAAAAGATCGTTATAACGAGTGATCGGCAGGCAGAAAAATTTTGTCGGGACTTTTAATGGAATGGCCTACAACAAGTGGGGGTTATAACGATCATCATTTATAATAAACTAGTTTACTCGAATTCTGTTATCAAGCCCTCTTATTCTAAGACCACATGTTAAGTGTAAGAAAAAATTACTAATTTAATAATATTTTTAGATAAATTCAGCTCTTTTTTTTTTTTTTTTTTTTTTTTTTTAGGCTTAAAAACTGAGAAATTCCGAAATTTTAATTACATATTTCTTTATCTGTATTTATAGCTTAAAATAAGAGGATTTTTTTTTTCCGTTTTTGTCATTCACTGACATTCGCTCTTTCAAGTTTGTTGAAAGGAAAATGTATGACACAGATGCATTAGTAAGGCTATAAGGTATTTTCTTCCTCCTTTATGCATGCCTTCGGGGTGTAACGGGTGCACATTCGGCGAGTATTCGAGAGGTTCAGGTTTGAGTCCCGGCGAGGGCATTGCTCATTTCTCACGTCTACTGCTTCAAAAAAATCCTAATGACTCTACAAGGTGAATGCAATGATGGAGAGTTTTCAAAGCTTCTACTTATTCCACAAAAATAGGGAATCTTCCGTTAAATCTTTTCTTCTTCATTATCATTATCTGCCAAAATATTACTAACTGTTTATTGACATTCTCTCAGTTCTGTTATATTTCCAACGGTGCGCAGCGCAAAATTTTTAAAACTAATCAGTTCACCTGGAATAACAGGCTTCATTCTCTATTACTTCTTTATAACTGAAAAATAAATCTTTCATCTTTATTTTCATTTTCTGAAGGGAAAGAAAAGGCCTGCTTTGATGACAAATTTGTTAATATAAATTTCAGTGATTTTTTTTCTATGTTGAACAGAATATATGAATGGCATCAGTCAGAACCTGTAGATCATTATTACGACTCATTTGTAGACAAACTAAATATGGAATCTCGTCTCCAAATTTAAGAATTCTCCGAATCAGAGGTTAAGGAATAGGATTTTTACACAGATAATGAAGGATATTTGGACGTAGTCGAAAGAAGTATGAGTTTGTTCTAAACATCGGGGGAAAGTGAGCGGGACACGAATCTTTAAATGAAATTACTTTACCGTTTCTTTCTTTTCTCACATTCCTATGAAACTTTTGTAGGAACTGCCAGAAGATTAAGATCAAATCGTATTCGCACGCAATTTTCCCCCTGGTCTTAGAGATGGTAAATCCTTTTCAATAAAGTAGGACTTTAAGTCTGTTTACTTTTTTTTTTTTTTTTTTTTTTTGAAACGTGATGATTTTTTTTACTCTTGACTGCTGAAAATTTCTGAGATATTTTTTCGAATAAAAAAAAAAGCATTTTATCTTTCATTAAAATTTAATATTCATGCGAGCGAGTTTTAATTCATCGGTACGATACAGAAAACCTTTTCTAGTCTGAAAGCTTTCATTAAAATCATTGCTTCCCTCGCTTGGTAACGGATTTCTTTGAAGAGTTAGATTGATGAACCTTCCACTTGACCAAACCTGACTTTTTCAAAGGGGAATACTGTAATAAATCCTTTGTTTACACCTTTTTTAAAACCGAAAAACTACTTAACTACAACTTGAGATACAATATCGATAATAATAGCAACGTTAGTGAAATACGAACTGAAAACTTGTAACTTCCTTTTATCCAACTTCCCCTGCTTAGTTGTCATCAGTTTGTAGAGACATGAGGATTTATTAGGAAGTAGGCAAGATGAAAAAATAGTAACCACCTTCGCCGGGAATCGAACCACGTACCTCTGGAAAACTGGCCCAGCGTGCAGAACCACTACACCACGAAGGCACTGTAGGAAAGCGGGAGAAATACCTTATAAATTAACTACTAGTAAAGGCTTTTCTCTACTGATCACTGAAATGCAGCTAAATTAAAATTTTAAATTTAAAAGTTTTATAATTCACTTACATCATTGAACTTTTCACCTCTTCAGTAAAATCAGTTTAAATTTATAGAATTACTGAAATAAATTTTGAATAATAATTCTAACTAGAATTTTGTAGTCACAAAGATTGAAAGGTACTTACGTATTATCGCAACCAGGCCAAAATTCGCATAAATTGCCAAATTTGGGACCCATTACGGAACCCTACGTGTTAAGCAGTTTGTAAAAGAGCATGTGGAGATTCCAAAATTCCGCATTTCGTGCAAATTTTGTAATTATGAGAAAAGCAGGTACATGGATAAGTCAAGAGTGTGCGCAATGCCAGTTTTTGCATTCTGGATGTTTTTTAGTAAAAAAGTCGACGGTAATGGTTATGGCGAAGCGTTTTCAACAGTGCTAAAAGCAATAGCCAAAAGATTTCCGTAAAAAAAATTCTGAAATTATGAAATGAACCGGAAGGGTTAATGCTATTTTATATTTAAAACCAAAATAATATAAAAAAACTGTATTACAAATTATCCGTAATTAATAAGTGTACATTTTTTCTATTCATACATTTTTACTGAAATTACAAATGCGCCAACCTGGTTGCGATAATACGTAAGTACTGATTGAAATATTAAAAGTATAATAAATATAATCCATTTAAGTATTTAATTTTTTAAAAAAAAAACCTCGTGAAACATTTAAGATTTCAAAAGAAACTTTCATTCGAAATAAATTCATTCCTTATTCTAAAAGCTTTGAAATATTTTTTAAGATTTTGACTTTTACTCGATGAAAAGTTCGCTGAACGCAGTTTCTAAAAATTCTTTTTTAAATTTTTAAATCTATTATCCTGATTTTTTCATTACATGGTATTTGCTGCTGCTTATGCGCATTTAATAATGCGAGCTTCTCTTGTTCGTGGCTAATGTGCAATGCTAAAAAAGTGGAAATGCGTACGCATTAAAAATAAAATGTATAAAAAAAAACGAATAAAAGTAAAATATATGAGAAAATGAAAAATTGTTAATCTAAAATGGAATAAGTTATAATGAATTTGCAGATGTGTGTATGTTTAAGTAAACGATAGTATCATTCAGTAAGAAATAAATGCATTCTGGAATTTCTCTTATTTTTTGAAAATAAAACAATGCAGGAAGCAAAGTGAAAATGAAAATAATGGGTAGTGAAGCCACACATACGTCTCATCAAGGGGCGATGTTCATTGTGATTCCATTAGCTGAGCCTCTGTCTTCGCCGGTTCATTCCCGAAAATAAATTAGAAAATTGGAAATTTTCTTAAAAAATAACGAATGAACTTAGAAGTTCCCCCTCCCTGCGCTGCACCAAAATGTCTGTAATGAATTCCAAACTGATTGAAAAAATATGAAATAAATGTAAAAAGTGCGTAATCATGGCAAAATTTGAGCTTGATAATGCCGAAGAAAAATAAAAGCAACGCAAATGAATAAATACAGTATAATAGGAAAAGTACATTCAACTAAAAAGAATAAACAACAAAGTAAAAAATTAAGTTAAAATAATAGCATGAAATCAAGCAAAAGATGTAAATTTTGCCTATTCCCCGCTTTGCGGAGGCCAAGCCGACAATGAGAGCAAAACAGCATTACTTGTAAACCTTTGTAAAATTAACCGCTCAGCGTGAAGCTGAGTTATAGTGAGGCATTTTATAATAATGTTATTTACTGTAAAAAGGCAAAATTAAATTAAAGACTGCTTTATACACAATTAAAAATAAAAACTATTTCTTTATATTAAGCAATTTAAATTTTTTTTAAAAAATGCTGTTTTTGAAACTTGAATTTTGAAATATGTATAAAACAATGAAAGCAATTAAAAAATATTAATACGAAGCTTCACTCCATCGGGCTATGTAAGGACATAAAAGGTAGAAATAGGCCCATTGTTTTAGTAACACACTTGTATATACATACATAGAGTCATACATAGTTCATACATGTAAAATAAAATTTAAATTCTATTTTTCATTTATAATAACCCCTATAATCTTCTTTATATTTCATTATTTTCCACTTGCTGTCTTAAAAATAGTAATAGGCTTTAAGCAAATCTTTCTAAATTGCATCATTTCAAAATTAATTCTTGTCGTATGATTCTCATATATGTAATATTAATGACGCATGTGCTTAGTACGTACAGGGTTTATACATTTAATATAATAATGTTAAATGTATAAACCAGAATATTAAAAAATCATTAGAAACAAAGTGAAACCATAAGTTCACTATTTTTAATCTGCAATTCACACTTGTTTCTCTCATATGCCTGTATGCTAACGTCATGTCAGCCGCTTATGTTTTCTGTCGTCAATGACATTTCTGTAATTGTCTGACATTGACGTCAATGACATGACTTTTGGTGCTTCAGTATGTTTATTTGCGGATTATGCTTCAACAATATAATCTGTAAAAGTCATGCAACATGTACATCACCATTTCAGAATTACATCCGAGTACAAAGTTTTAAAGGGAGTTAAATATCTAATTTTGATTTTTGTTTAGTATTTTGATTTTTGTTTTTGTTCCTGTTTCTTTATTTTATATATTTTTATGTATATACATGTGTGTGTGTGTGTGTGTGTGCACGCAGTTAACCATTCTGGATATAATTAATTAATTTTTTGAAATATTAATACCCAGAAATTGTTAAGAATGAAGTTAATTTGTTCAGAAGCGTAAGGTAATACAGATTCATTTAGTAAACACACTGATTGAGTTTTAGATTTAAAGTACCCTGTAAATTTTGTTAAAATTACAGGGTCACACTGCAAAAAACTTTAAAATTTTAATTATGGTGTTAAGATTTTCGTACATTTATTTTTTACTAGTTACAAACTGCAAAGAGAAGCAGAGCTTTCCAGAAGATTAAAACTATGCTCATGTTAGTATTACATTCTTCTCTTATTTTTTTTATTTTCATATTTTATTTTTTTGTGTGTGCGTATGCGTTTATATATTTTTGAGTTCAATTATTTAATTTATATATTCAAGTTTCGCATCTGAACTGCATTGCAACACAATCTTGATTGTTAGCGCGTTCTAGCTACGCCAGGTGGCGACACATTCGAGGCAAATTTTTCCGAATCAACTTTAATAAAATTTCGGTTTAAATCGCTTTTAGGATTACTGATTAAAGTTATGCGTACTTTAAGCAATAGTTACGATATTTTTTACGTTTTAGTTAATTTTCCCATTCTTGCCTTTTTTGAATATATTTAATTAATTTTTCTAATTTGAAATTTATGAGGGGTAAATTTATTAATGTGTACTTCTTTGAAACTTATCTTTTCATTTTGTTACTTGAACTAGATGTGATTCATTTTATTTTCATAAGGCAATTGCTTAAATGCTATAGTACTTGCTCCGGGAGCACTGTGCGCTCATACGTTTACTTTAACCAAAATAAAATGCATCAACCCCCTTTTGCAATTTTGTGATATTTTCTCTTTTGCAATATTGTGATTTTATCATTCTGTCTCTTTTTCTTTTCTATTCTGCCCCCTCCCCATACACACATTGTTTAAAAGACAGCGGTTTTCTAAATTTTTCATCCCCCCCCACCCCGCCCCCATAATTTCTTCTCTCTCTCTCTCTTTTTTTTTTTTTTTTTTACGGTATACACTATGTATTTAGTGTAAGATCTTCAATATCTTTATCTTGTATTGTGTAGTCTTCATCAGTCTTTTGAGCAATGCGTCATTTACATTTAAACCATTTCGTTTAAATTTACTTATTGCTGCTTTATTATTTTTTCCGTATATATTTAATATACGTTAACAATCAGGGGCGTAGCTAGAGGGGGGGCAAAGGGGCTGTCCCTGGGCGCAGCATCCAGTGGGCGCCAAAATGATGTTACGAAATTTTAGAATTAAATGTTTTCCATTCTTTGCACATACGATGGGGTGCGAAATTTTCAGTTGTCCCCATAAGCTGAAAACCCTAGCTACTACTCTGTTAACAATATAGATTTATTCTAACTTTATCTTTACTATTACTTATATGTATACTTGAATAACTGATAAGTATTAAAAATATAGGTATGTAATTTAAATTATATGTACAACTTTATTTGACCGTAAGAAATGTGTTGACAAATTTAATTTCGTAAAAAGATAAATCAAGGATTATTTTCGATGATTTAGTGAAGTATCCAGCGTGTATTCGTACTCTTTTCAAAACCATTGATCAGATATTCAAATCTTAGAACTTATATATCTTAGTTGTAACTTGAGATTAAAGAGGATAGTCAACCAACATACTTTTAAAAAAATTTCTGTAAAAAGCCTTATATCCTCAATGATTTTACGAAGAAAACTGGATAGAGATATTCTTAACTATACTATTTTTATAAGAAGTGGTGGGCAACATGCACAGAACACAGCAATCCCTTTAATCTTGTACATAAGCTTTTCACTCGACTGAGATGGCTATGGTTACAAAAAAAAGCGATTAGACTTCCGGACAAAATTCATAACGAAACCTTCCAAAGAGATCAAGCATATGATCAAAACATTGTATGCAAAATGTGGCATTTCGCAATCAGCCGCAGCCTCTCGAAGATGGTGTATAAAGAGGTACGAACTCCCGGAATATTTGCAACTACAGATTTTCAGATATAATATTATATCTGTAAGATTGCAGGCATTCTATTATCTGCGAGTTCCATGTTACACGTCTTCTGAAATTTAAGGTGCAAAAATTCAGTGACAGTTTCGCGTGCTATATTGTTCTCCTGTACCACCTGTCACAAGTGCGCGACAATTTCACCATTTTTTGTCTTTAGATTCCGGTTAATGCTGTACATTTTTGTTTTTCGACAGAGTTAATCCTCCCATGTAATGAGTTCATCGGTACACGTTGGAACAGTGACAGTGACGTTCTGTTGGGTACTTTTAGTCACCTTCGTCACTAATTTATGTGTCACAATATGAAGATTATAAGCTTATCGTATAGCTTATTTATTACTGGGAAACACTACTCGTTAGCCGTCGTAGTCGCCCATGTTCTATATCATTCTACTCAAGCAACAATTAGTGCTTTACGACACGCATACCACGTGGCAGGAATGCACCTTATCACATAATGACTTGTAAGTCACTTATACATTGCTTGCTAATATTTTACGCCCCGCTTTGAGGGCTGAGGACAACTGCGAAATACCAGGCTTTGCACCTGTTGTTTTGTTTACAGGCTCTATTCTCCCTGAAATTTTCGTGACAATTGTCGTCGGAAAATTCAATAGCGAAGAATAATGCTTTTGTTCAGATAGTATTCGCCGCCGATAGCACGGGGGGGAGAAAGAGATTTCGTGGAATTTCTCGACAAACCTTCGCATGGAAAATGCCTGAGATTTACTGCTGATTTTATGTCTCCAAAATAATTCGTGTACAAAAAAAAAAAAAAAAAGAAGAAGAAGAAAAAGTTTGAACTACTCAGCAATCTTCACTGCCATTATCGGCATGCTTCAAAATTTCGGAATTTAACTAAAAACCAATTTTTTTAAATTGAAATTTCGTTAATCCTTGCTATAATCTCCGAATTTCGTTTTAATTCCTGCGCTATTTTAATGTTTACAAGCATACGAAAATTAGCCTCAATCTCCAAAATATTATGAAAGTAGTCTCAGATAAAGCAAATATTTTGCTTCTTCGTCTTCCTCCCCACATTTTGTGAAGTAACTGAATTCTTTCCTGTTTAAATAAAATGTTTTTTTTTTTTTTTTTTTTTTTTTTTTTTTTTACAGGCAGTTTACGGAGGATACTTGTATTCTTATGCTGTTAAAGGCCCAGTTAATCTAAAGAGATCTAACGCAGCGTACCTAAATGCTCTTTTTTGGGTATGTTCAAATGAATAACAAACTTTAGTGTATATAGTTAACTTTTCTTTTTCTTTTTCCTGTAGTTTAGAATTATTTTCTGTCTTATTATGGTGCATTCATGACCGTAGCACAGAAAGAAAAACTGAAGAAATTTTGGAACACTTGCCTTTTATAATCAAGAACAGATTTATCTTATGTAAATATTTATGTTGATGAACATTAGCAACTACCGAACGTTGGTGGGCATATGTACTCCTGTTTTCGACGCTTATGAATGTATTTACCTATATAATTTTCAATTATTATTTAAAGTAAATGGGCCTGAATAACATACGTTTCTTCTTAATTCTGAATTTTAAATCTTTTTCTCCTCCTTCTTACAGGGAATGTTTGCAGCAGGTAGATTAATCTCCATTGCTCTGGCGACTCGACTGGCCCCTGCATTCATGCTTGGTTGTAATATCGTAAGTAAACAGAGGTCGAAGCAATAATACGGGAATTATGTAGAATACTACCTCAAAAGAGTAGATTACTTTTTTAGCTTTTAAAACAAAAACTGTGGTGATTATGCGCATGTTTCCTATTATCCTGAGGTTACCAAATAGGTAATCAGTAATATACGCTGATGTTTAGTAAAAATATGATATAACTAAGGATAGGAGTTATAACGCAAATATTTACAGGAGCGATGACATACAATGTAAGGTAGAAATGTTCGAAACATTAGAAGGAAAGTGCTAAATTCAATACTTTTATGTCCATCTTTTATGGTAATAACGGATTGCACTATGCAACATGCACCAATCAAAATCGGATTGCACTAGACAACATGCACCAATCAAAATCCATGAAAATATCATTTAATGCAGATCCAATAAATACACACAATCCGTTAGTGATAACTGCGAGTGCTGAAATCTGAGCTGCCCTTCGAGAAATCATCGAGATTTTCGGATAAATCAGGCAACTAAGCAGACTAAGGAAGAACTGGTCACATTTGAAAACGTTTTCATGCAATATGGGCGGACGCATTAACTTCTTTAAAGTTAGCCCAAGAAAGTTCAAAAGGAATGGTAACACTTCTCGTTCCAAGCTCTCACTAATGCACCACTGGTACGGTTCGAACATTCTGAGATTCGAAGAAGGCGAAACTGTAAATAAAATGGAGTAATATATATATATAAGAACATGACGCTGTGCAATGTCTTCAAGATGCCGCTCTTCCCTCGGGCAGTAAGCGAAGGTCCGACTGTTATTTTACAACTCATCAGAAAAGATTTTCGCCTATTTAGCGTTCCACTATCTTCTATGTGTTTTCAGTTGAAATAGCTCATGTGACTAACTAAAAGAAATGGACTTCGAAATACGAGCTCTCGCTGCAGGAATCATAACGACAGTTGTCACGGGATATGTCACTGTCCTCGAATGTAGGGATAACATCGTAGGTGATGCGGTAAAAACTATCACAGCCATACGTGCCGTTTATTCTCAAGGTGCTCCGGGTTTGGCTAGCCGATCTGATTACTCAATTTTGGTGTTTTACTTTCATTGAACAGTGGTATATATATTGCTCCAATAAAAGCGATAGAGACCTATCATATAGAGTATACCTTCGTGAAGGATTTTCTAAGAGAAACTAGTTTATATGTATGATGCATAGGGAAAATTATTATCACCCAAGCAGTCAGACTATTTTAAATGGTTAAAATTTGGGCAAAACTACTAATATTCATATGAAACTAACATATGTGATAAGTAATAAGCTCCTTACGTTTGTTTTAGTTTAATGTCGTCAAAATGAAAGATATAATATAGTTTAAATAGAAGATACATAAAAAAGGAAATGTCAGGTTCAGAACATTATTTGACAGAGATTTAGAACTTATTAAAATACGAAGAAATGACACCTCTTTGCTATTCTTCTGTAAAACTTTATGTATGAGACATTCAGAACTGTACTTTAACCCACGGAGCACCTCCACTGAGCAAACGCAGTTTTAATACGTATAAGCACACGGAAGTGCTTGGAAGATCATAAAAACAGTGCTTACCTTTAGCTTTTACCGTGTCAATTTACGAGTTTCATTGATGAACTCAGTAATTAAGTTTGTTCCGTCATCGTTATAAAAAAAATGTGTTATTTTATCCTATTTTCAGATTCATCTGATTTACATCCCGTAAAAGTGAGCTGTACTTTGCATATTTTAAGCCATAAATGCATTCCTATTCCTACTTTTTAAGACTTCATTGCGTAACTTTTGCAGTAAAAATGTGTATTATACTTTGATTTTTTTTTTTTTTTTTTTTTTCAAGTGTCTCAAATACTAACATACAAAGGGGTTGCCCACCTTTTTCTGGATTTTGAGTAGGTTTTCTACCGACAATTTTTCAGTCAACCATTGCGAGCCACTGAGCGAAAAAATATAAAATAATTATCAATTAAGGTATAGCAGACTAAACGCTTTCGATCGACTAGTTTGACAATCCCGATCTATGGGGTTATTCAAAATGACTGACCTGATTTCAGATGACATAGTCGCTTGTTATAGATTAATTTAGTGGACATTAAGTGGAAAAGGGAACTTTTAGTATTCCATTAAAAGAGGAAGCTTTTGAAAGAAACCTGAGAACTTAATAGTCAAAAGACAGCTGCTCAGTGGAAGATCCTTTGTGTGCAGCAGTTTACCAAATTTCATTTTGTAATTCCGTTCAACGTCAGTTTCATTGATGTTACGGAATGTATCCACCGATTGCTGTAAGCATTCATGGGTGGGTGACATCAGCAGTTTTCATCTGGCTTTTGTGTGTCTTCGTGAAAGCAAGAAGACTGTATGCGTGTGATGGCTGTATGCAGCTTATAAAGACAAAGTTACTTCCTAGTGTTTTGCGGATGGATTCCGATGTCGTCGTATATTATGACATATGTGATATTTTCTTTCAGAATAATGATATGGCGTTCGCTTAAGCAGGAGCGCAGGATCTGGCAGAATAAGTATGGCTAGAATATGGTTGTGATCTGGATGTCATTCATATGACTGAAAGAAATGACATAGAACATTTTATAAGCAAAATTTGAATAGCTTTCTTTGCTATTATGTGTTATTTGTCACATTGCCTTTCTAAAATTTAAAAATAAAGCAATCTGAAATCAAGTCTTTCATTTTGATTTCCTTAATTCTTTCATTTTGATTTCAGATTATTTCAGAACCTTTATTTTGCATTTATTTTAAATGATGAAATTTTTCACTTCATTCATTCGTAGGTAGGCTGTACTTTCGGTATGCTGCTGATGCTCGCGCTAAAGCACAGCAAAGGAATCCTCATCTTTGGTACCTGCATCATTGGATTATTCATGAGTTCCGTCTTTCCAACTGCGCTATCACTTACAGAGCAGTACATTAAAGTTACCCGTAAGTATCTTCCGGTATTATACGCGAATATCAACAATTTAAATATTCGCTTCGGAAAGCCTGTACACGTGATTTAAAAAAAAAAAAAAAAAACTGAGAAAAGGTAAATTTGCTTCTAAATTATCATAGTTTTTCGGTTACTTTTAAACAAATACTGGTTTACAATTTCAATCAGTTTTATCAAGCTTTTCACCAGAGTTCATTACGAATGACTTAACAGCTGGCATTCTTAAAGATAATAACAATTTAATCAAAATACGGTTTTGTGGTTTCTAAGCCTTAATAAGAAACCTAGAGGAGGAAATTGAGGAATACGGGTTAAGATGAATCGTTCTTTGACTTTTCGCGATAATTTAAACTCTAATTTTCGTGCTTTTTTGCTCTACTAGTTGAACTTGTATTATCCATATCGCAGTTTGATGTCTGATTTTTATATCTGTCAATATAGGAGGAAACAAATGGAGTCACAGCTTTGAACTTTGATAAACGTGACCGTTCGCGAACCTGTTCGAACTTCGACATCAGCTTCGAGCTTTGGCGCTTTTTGGCGACAGATATTTCACGCATGCGCAATTGTGTCCCTTTTCGTTCGGAGGGAGCCACTCCTGCTGTTGCGAAGCTTTCCTTCTTAACAGTACATATTCTTTGGTGAAGCGGAAAGCTTATCGCTTGAATTATTAAAATGATGTCAATGCTTAGCAGATATTTTTAATACAACAGGAATTTAGCAAGTAATCACTGATGTCATATGAAACCTTGTCTCACGAGTTCGTAAACGCCAAAGTAAAAATATGAAAAATCGACCATATCTCACTAAAGTAGACGGGAAGCACGGAGAAGGTCTACAGAATTTCATATTTTATTGTTTGTTCCTTTAATTTAAAAGCGCAGACTACTGAAAATTTAACTTCATAGAAGACATCTTAAGGGAAATTGGCTCGTTTCTACATAACACATTCGAGAACCATTTATTTTGAGTTGAACATGTTCTCAGACGTATCATATATCTGTAATAAAGCATTTCTTATAATGTAAGAAATACATTTGTGCGGAAGATACCATTTCTCAAATAATAAACAAACAAAAAAATTTTTTTTTTAAATAATAAATAAAATAAATCGCCAGTTTCCCAAGTTTACAATTAAGTACGCTTACGTAATTAAAACACAAAATTTACTATTAAAAATTACTATTACGATTAAAGGTGAAAGAAAAATTTAAAATCTTATTCTTTGCAGAATAACAGCACTCTGAAAATAGATTATTGCAGGATCATTTGGAAGATAACTAAATATTTTACATTTCTCACAATAGCAATATCTGCAAACCCAGTGGATAATAAATGTAAGGTAGAGTAACGTAATGAGTTAAATATTTTGGGAAGTCTCCTCTAAAGACTTTTAATGTCTTTAAATTATTAAGAAATGTATTTATTGCTTTCAAATGTAGGGAGTTTGAAAGGCTCTTAGGAAGTTTGAAATCAAAGTTAAAGATCTGATCAGGGCCGTTCCTAGGCCATTGGCTGCGTACTTTCCTAAGATTGCCGCTTCCAATTTTTTTTTTTTTTTAAGTGATCAGTTATTAATAAAATGTTTATTTCATACTCTCTAAGTACTTGTATATAACAAATTGTATAAAAAGTACTTACATATGACAAGTACTTACAATGAATTAATTGAATTTCAAATATTTAGGCATGGTATCGCGAGAGTCCGGCCACCCCTGATTTTCGCCACCCGCGTACTTTTACGCGCTGCACCTATAGAAATGATGCCCAACAACTGGCTGACTCTGGAAATTAGCTACTAATAGACCGCATGAAAGACAATTTATAGAACGTGTACTCTGCGCAGTGACAAACTTGTCGACTCACCTGGGTAATAAATGGCATGGTAGCATAACTTAACGGTAAAAACGTTTTAAGAAAACTAACGTCGAAACTCTGCAGTTTCTAGTCTGTAATTAAAAAAAAAACATTTATTGCATTCAAAATTACAAACGTAATTTTTTTGTTTATTATTTAGAAAATGTTGTATTATAATGTTTTATAATAAAAATGTTTTCGTCAATTATTAGTTCATGATTAAGCTGTGCACATACTTTGTAATATAAATATCTTTTCAGCTACTATAACCTCATTCCTTGTGTTTGGGGCTGCCCTCGGAGAGATGTCTATGCCTGTAGTTTTAGGACATGTAAGTTAAAAATTGAAATATTTTGTAATAGAAAGAAATTTTTACTATTGGTTGCGTCGCTTATTTATACTGAATATTCGCGAATAATTAATATGCATTAGCAATCGTTAAAGTAATTTTTAGTTAAGTTCTGCAAAGGAATTTTAAAATTTAACAACTCTAAGATAAAAAATATAAGACAAGTGTTAATTTTGAGTAGCACACTTTATAGCTCGAAGGAAACGAAAAAACGACTAAACTCTTTTTATAATGAATCATACATCTTTATCATACCTACATACTGCAAATAAAAAAATCAAGCAATAAAATACTTCATGTATTTCCACTTTATTCATTTTATCCATTCAAGAGTTTTTAGTTTGAGAAACTTAATTTCTATGTTAAATCAACACCAATTACGCTGCGTGGATTCCTAAGAAGTATTTTGTTAAATTATTAATAGTTTTATAAGATTATGAATAGTATATCATTTTTCATTTCGCCATTTCTAGTGCAATCATATACGTGAGTTTCTCTGTGGGATCTAGTTCTCTTCGTTATCGTAAAATGTAGCTAGATGTACCTAAGTGTTAATCCTAGAGACTTCTTGCATAGGCTTGAAGGTGAACACAACCAGGGAAAGGGTGTAAAAGACCATTTTATTGAACACAAATATAATTTACAGAAGACGTGGACGTACGTGCTTACAAACATCGACCACTCGTGATGAGATCCGAAAAGATGCGTAATACTAAATTTAAAAATTAGAGTATTGCAACACTATACAATTCAGTTTAATCTAAAAGGTTGACTCGGAACCTACAGCGGCAGGATAATAACTCGGTGGCAAGAATGCAAAGCCGATAATAGCTGGAAGAAAAAGCAATTTACACTCACAATAATTAAACCACGCTCTAACTAAACTTTTCCCTACTTCAGTGTAAATACACTCGTTCGCTCTAATTTACATCTTGACGAGGAAACGGGAGGGAAATAAAAGAAGACAGGAAAGGCTAGCAAATTAAAATAACTATGGGTAAAATTAAATGAAAACCTACAACTCTTATTTTGTGTTAATACAAATACAAGTATTTTTTATTTTATTTTCAGTTACAATCGTATGGTATTATACATACTAGAATACTTTAGGTTTACTGTATATGTTTAAACCATTTCTTAAATAGAAATTTTTAACTATATATGTTACTGATAAGTTCATTCGATGCTGCTTATACATATAGTAATATAATTCGGTATTCTTTCTGTATCTAAAGGAATTTGATCGGGCTGGTCCTATTACATTTTTGATAACTGGCGTTGTTCTCTGCTTCTTATCTCTCATTATTTACATGGTGCTTTGGATTGTTGGACGTTCAGTGGCCCATTATACAGGTAATGAAAAAGAAAAGACTTCACTTTTTATACAAGTTTTCTTTTATTCAAGTCCACAATAGTTATAAATAGTTCTTCGTTCTGAAAGCAAATATGCTATAATAAGATAATCTTTATTTAATGCGAAATGACAAAGCACAACAGAGCTGTCACCAGAGATGTTCCCTGGAAGTATGAGAAACTGGCTCATATTCATGTTACACGTAGCGAAAAGCACGAAAACACTGCCCTACTAATTCATATGCCGCTGTTTGAACCGAATCAGTCAACCAGCGGCCGAGTGGTAAAGTCATTGGTAACACTGGTAGTTCCAACCTGGATTCGATTCCAGGCGAACAGGCTGACTGCATGGACGTTTTCGTGGTTTTCTCTGTGTGTAACGTGTATATGAGTCAGTTTCCCGCAGAAAGTTCTCCACGAAGGCATCCCTTCCCTTAGGCAGATAGCCCTGGCGTTCTTTGCCATAATTAAATTAAATAAAACAAATAAAAAATAGAACCGGATGAAGCTTTGATGTTCAGCTATCTTACCTTATTAGCCACTTGTGGTGTGTTATATCCTACCTTTCGAAAGTATGAGTTATATTTATGGCTAACACTAGTACAGCTAAACAAAACTGTTTTATTTTCTAGCATTTTAATATTTCCTCTTAGCCATTTTCATGAAAATTTTAATGAAATGTCTATTTCCGTTAACAATAAATCAAATTTTGCTCTTAAACAAAATATTACCTAAGTTTCGATTGCTTGAATTACGGCGCTTGTATTAGATAAAAAACCAAGCGGAGGTAAGCAAACCAATTTGATTTTGTATTGTAACATTTTGCATTAAAATTTTGCAGTAATGTTTAATGAAATGGCTACTTCCATCAAACCCTTTTTCCACGATTCCAGTTTACATGCTATAAACTAAGATTTTACTGCTTGAGTTAGGAAACTTATATTTATGTGATAAAAATAAAATATGGATAAAGAGAACAGTTTTTCTAATGTTCTAATTTTTTTGCTTATGTATTCTCTTGTAATGGTTAATGAAATGGCTATTTCTATCGCCAGATGAGAAATTCTCAAAAGGTTTAAAACTGCTTTTTATTTTTACTGTTTTTAGGAAATAGAAAGATACTAATAATATCAGTAACTTAAACAAAGTAAAACAATAAAAACAAAAATTAAAATTTTAATTATATGATGAGCAGTCCAAGAAAACTCAAGCAGTGTCAAGTATTAGGACTAATTTAATTAAAAGTCAGAGTAATAGAATGAAAGGAAACTACTATTTCTTATCAACGAGTTTTTTTGTAGAACTGAACACATGGTGGTCTTTATCATTCATCAGTTGTATTCAGGAAGACCTAATATGAGTTCCATTTAAATTATAAATTAAATTAGCATTACTGGACCCCCCAACAAAATCTATGCATGTATTATTTAAATTTCGAATAATTTTAGAATGTTTCTAATTATAAATATGAATTTATTTCTAAAGGGGTTATACATAGATAGATACTATGCAAAATAAATTAAACCCTTAAATTATTTTACTTCTGGGCAAACAGAATTTTTATCTTTTTTCATTTCAAAACTTTTGCTGCTCTAATGTAACAGATTTTAAAGAATTAACTCTTCTTTATATATTTTATTTTTATTTTTATTTATATTTTTTGATCGAATTTTATTTGTAATTATTTTTTCGTATGTCGGATTGCTTCTGTTTTACATGTTTTATTTTTAGGACTCTGTCCACTTAAATGTAAAATAATTATTATTAAATTTTTAAGCTTTTTGGCTTGTATACGATTTTGATGATATAAAAATATTTTTTTAACTCTGGCCTGTATGGTTTCAAAATGTTTCATGCGTTATTATTTTTTCATGTATGTAATTCCCTGTAAATACAAGTTTCGTTTTGTGAACTCGGTCCACTCAAAATAAGTATTTTAAATTTTTAAGCCTTTTTAAGCTTGTTAGTGGTTTCAATGGTATAATTTTACAGCTTTTGCACTACTTACTACGGCCTGTAGGGTTTGGACTGACAAAAATACAGATTATTTTGATTTATTTTCTGAGATTATTTAAAGAATTAAATTTTAATTTGTCTCTCTGCTGGTTCAGAAACAGGCTGATTTTTATTTACCTCTTTCTTTGTACCAAGGATGACGATGCAGCGAAAGATGTAATTTTTTTTTTTTTTTTTTTGACATCTTTTGCCCTTCTCATGCAGTTTGCCACTGTGCTTCTAGTTTTTGCTTTTTGTGTTTGATTTATTCTAAATTGAATATGGGAGGGATTTTAGAACGTTTCAAATATTTATTTTACTTTATTACCATCACTAACTGCTGATTTCAGCGCGCAAGTTGGATTAGGTTTTAAACTGCCTTTTACTCTGTATTTATACATTAGATAAATATACGATATAGTATCTGTTTATATATGTTGTGCCGTATGGTTACAGCCGAAAACATCGCTGCAAAAACATCGCGGACGAAAACGCCGCGGAGAAAACAACGCAAGGAGAAAACATCATGGCACAAAACATCGTGGGAGAAAATAAAGCAAAGAGAAAGCATCGCAGTTCTAAAAACATCGTGGTACAAAATATCGTCGTCGAAAATTAAGCAGTTCAAAAACTTCGCAGTTTAAAAACATCGTAGTTGAAAATATCGTGGTAAAAAATAAAGTATCTACAAATCCCATTACGATAACATCGCAGACTTGCGTTTATAATTCAAGCTTTAATAATCGTAAAACGATACTTGCATAATGATTTAGAAGCGCAAGATGGAAAGAAGGATAATTTTAACTTCATATTTTATTATTAATTAATAAACATTTCCTGAAAATGGAAACTTAAACATAGAAAATTAATGCAACTTATAAGCACTTAATAGAATATTAAACTGACATAGTTAACTAACAAAAGTCAATAATAAATTATTTTTTCATAAAGTTTTACTGGTAATTTTTCATGAAAAGTATAATCTAAAAAAGATTAGGAAAATAAAAATAAGTAACTGCATGCACTTATCCGTAAAAAAAAAAAAAAAAATTGCTAAGTTAATTATAAGGGGGGAAAAGATTGTTTTCTTCACTTTTGTTAATCTCATATTCTTATAGTGGAAATTCTTTTTTGTTTAAATTTCTTGTTTTGTTTTTTATAATTTATTAATTAATAAAAAAATAGGAAAGTAAAAATTATCCTTCTGTAAAAAAAAAAAAAAAAAAATGCTAAGTTAATTATAAGGGGGGGAAAGATTGTTTTCTTCACTTTTGTTAATCTCATATTCTTATAGTGGAAATTCTTTTTTGTTTAAATTTCTTGTTTTGTTTTTTATAAATTTATTAATTAATAAAAAATAGGAAAGTAAAAATTATCCTTCTGTCCATCTTGCTCTTACAAATCATTAAAGAAATATCTATTTACAATTATTAAAGCCTGAAGAACGCATGTCTGCGATGATTTGTAGGTGCTATATTTTTTACCACGATATTTTCGACGACGATGTTTTTAAACTGAGAAGTTTCTTCGAAGACGATATTGTGTACCACGATGTTTTGTCTTTGCTTTATTTTCTCCGACGATGATTTGTGCCACGACGTTTTCGCCTTGACTTGTTTTCTCCGCGACGTTTTCGTCCGCGATGTTTTCTGCGGATACCGTGCCCTATATACCCTTAAAATATGGACATCAGCCTTTTATAGTCTGATGTTACGCGTGACGCTTGCGCTTAATGCAATGCATAGAATTTTACAGTATGTTTGGAAATTATATTTTTTTAAATTTAATTTGCCTCGAACATAACTTAATGGGAAATTTATTTCAAAAATATTCAGTTGTACTTTATAAGGTATTTCTCTCGCTTTCCTAGCGTGCCTTCGTGGTGTAGTGGTCTGCACGCTGGGCCGGTATTCCAGAGGTCCGTGGTTCGATTCCTTGCGAAGACGTTTGCTCCTTTTTCATCTTGCCTGCTTCCAAAAATACCTAATATCTCTACAGTGGCGCCCGAACTAAAAAAGGTGTTAGATGAGCATTCTTCACACCCAGGATTTGGCGACTGGGTACCCTAAAAACCCCAGTTGCCCTTTAAAAAGGGAGAGTATGTAAGGTATTTCCCCCGCTTTCCTAGCGTGCCTTCGTGGTGTAGTGGTCTGCACGATGAACCGGTATTTCAGAGGTCCGTGGTTCGATTCCCTGCGAAGGCGTTTGCTGATTTTTCATCTTGCCTGCTTCCAAAAATACCTAATGTCTCTACAACTTTTTAAAATGTTTCTCTCTGTATTTACTTTTTATTTTTCATACTTATAATCTTTTTCTTCTCTTCCTTGCGACTAATTTATAAAATTCTCGAAGCTGTTATCATTCTGGTATTCTCCTATTTTCATAAATAGCAGTCTAGGTGAAACAAGCGTCTTAAACCAGGGGTGAAACAAGCGTTCAGAGAGGGAAAGCCACGTGCTTCGGTGAACACCGAATCCAACTGTTCTAATACGAATGAGGTTTTCGAGTTTTGTAAAGGGCGGCATGTGTAAGATTCCTATTACATATCCATTTGTTTTGATCAAACAGCTCTTTCAATTAATTTGTCTGCCTAATTTACCACTGAAATAAAGAGGCTCGATTTTTTCCTTTCTTTCGCAAAAAATTGTAAGTTGTTCGTTTCCAACAAATCAGCATTGAATCCATTATCACTTTCATCATTATAATGGAGAACCATTTCCTTCTTTACACAGTAACCCCAAAGTCATTTGGGGTGATTGGCTGTTTTATAGTATGTGACAAAACAGAAAAATTGAACTAAACAGTTGTTCTTCCGAAATATTTTGAATGAGTAATGCAGCCTTTACAGATACTGAATTCGACAGGATTAGAATTGACGAATTCTCTGTGCCGTACGGCCAAATGAGCTATCGTTATTAATTCGAAATCTTTTCTAAATCAAAGTCAATCGCAAGCATGGCCAATTGTTTTACAGAAACGCCTAGTCGAAGTAACTAATTGCTATGGCAGCATCTAATCTCGAAGTCTTGTTGTCCCTATACATCAGATATTTGTGTCAAGTTTTAGCATAAACGCGGCCGTTCTGTTGCTTTGATGGTCAAGAATTAATTTCATCCCGGTAAGGCTGCCTCTTTCAGCTGGATAAATTACTTCTTTCTGGATTCTATTTAAGTCAAACTCTCAAGTCAATTTCCTTTCTTCGATTTTTAAACTTTTTTTGCATTTAGGGGGATATTTTGAAATCTGATCCATTATTTTTCACGAAAACCTACTCTTCTCATAGGTATGACAGATTTAACAGTTCCTCTTACTAATTGTATAATTTGAGAGATTTGCTTTCACTGATATCCATATTAGTGCGGTACCTAAGTGCCAGTCTGATTTGGCTATAGTGATTTTTAACTTGAATTCCAGAGTGGAGCGAAAAAAAAACAACTCACGAGAGTTTCATCTGAGTCGTGATCATATCGTCTGCTTCGTTGTTGCGACCACTGTAGATTATCCCCCACAGGTATAGAAACCATGTGAACAAGTTTTGTGTTATTTGTTCCACGAAGAATAGCAAAATGTAGGCTCTTTGTGGACAGACGAACTAGTTTTTCGTGTGCCACACTGTAGCAACCATATTTGAGAAGAACTGGTGATGGAGGCTACGACTGCGCCCAGTAAACTTCCGGCCTTACCTTTTTCAATAACATCATAGTCTGGATCGAACGATGATGTCATAGAAACTGTTGTGAAAAAAATGTCATGGAAAACAATTTGTGATGCTTGAATTGTCTGACATGTGGTGTACCAGCACTGATTTTAAAGATGCATTCCCACCAAAATAATTCTGTCTCAAAACAAACTTTCTATGAGCAAATTTATTAATTCTTATCCAGAAGGTGAGTGATATTATTAACTAATATCACTCATCTTCTGTTGATAGATCTCGTAAACACGCTCTGTCATTCTAATTAATAGCATTTTGCCTTCAAGTCAAGAATTTTCTAAATTATATTCCAGTGCAGCCATAACATGAAAATCTTATCCAAACAGTCTCTCATACCAGTAGATTCGTTGTTGTGAAAATAATTTGGGTCTGAAATAGATGTCATGTCCTTCTAAAAGTAATGCTGGAAATCAAATGCATGTAATTTTTTCAAAATGCTTAATTACATCAGCTTGTTTTACATATTCATTGGAGAAATTAAATTAATAAAATTACTGCAGACGTTTTATAGACTTTGTTTTCAGGTTCCAGCGTGACGGGGCTTTTTTCATCTTGCTTTCCTTCAAGAGCTGCTGCAGAAGGTGAAGAAACCAGTCTTACCACACAACACGTTCGCTATTACTCCAGAATGAAAGGCGACACTTCCGAAAACAGTTTAGATGCGCAGCAAGAATCTTCATTCACAGAGCAGCCAACTAGTCAACCTCAGTAATAATATTTTCATTCTCAAACAATAAGGCATTTCTATTAACTAATTGTATTCTACTTGTGATATCTTCTGCCATAATTCGATAAGCGTTTTCAATCTTCTTAGTGTGCATATAACATAATAAATAACCAAGCTTATTTCATTTCATCCCAGTATACTTGCAAAATATACTTTAAAGACATATAATTATCAAGAGGAATTTAATTCAGTTAAATAATAGTTCAATAGAAACTAAAAACCTTTAGTTTCGTGGATTGATGTTGTCTCTGTCATTTCTAAAGAGGCCTTAGACTTATATCTATATATGTAAAATAGCTAAACAAGTACAAAATCTAGAATACTTCATTTTTCCTCTTAGATCAGAATTTTTCCTCTTTCTTATTGGTTCACCGAGTGTTACAGAACTTTTCCTGAAAAATTAGAAGTGTTTGACTTAGTAAAATGCCTGTTAATTTATCTAATTCATCAATTAAGTTTAATCGCTCTAATTTCTAATGAAATAAGAACTTTTGAAATATTTTTGTTACTTCCATATGTTAATTTAATTATTGAAAACTTTTATTAAAAGATATCGCTCTTTAAAGTGGAAATATAATAAAATGAAAAAAAAAAAAAAAATGTCAGCAAGTATCATAAAATTAACTCTGTTTTAACAAATATATTTTTTTATAATTTAAAATATATTCAAACACTTCTAATGGTACATAACTCTTTACCTAGAAGCCAGAATGTCTCATCTTTATCCTGTAAAATAAACTGACTAGTGTTAAAATGCTACGCATTTTGTCAAATTTTGTAAAACTCTGTTGTAAATAGCAATAAAATTTTAATAAAATGGAACTGAAAATGAATTCTTTTTATCTTGTGAGTTGCAAACGACGGAAAGAAATTCGCAGTATTCATCAATGAAGCATATGAAAAGAATATGAATGAAGAACATAAAAAAGAGTTGAAAAGATTCATTTGAGAAGGTCTATATTAATTTAGCACATTGAGGATGGCATCACAGTCTCATAATGAGTTCAGCTTTCAAATAATTGAGTCATGTATCCAAAGCTGTGCCTATTTTTTCACCTGAGGCAAAGAAGTAAATGCAAATTTCTATATGCAATCAACATTTAACTTTTTATCTGTACAAGTTTATATTCAACGAAGATCAATATATCAAATCATACCATAATGTTTAGGACAGCTCTTAATCTTAACTTTATATATTTAGAAAAATAATGCATATAAGAATTTATAGTTTTTAAATGAAAAGGTTAAAAAATACCTTTTTGATAAATAGCAAATAACAATGAAATAATATAAAGGATAGAACAATTAATATAAAAGTATTACATTAATGTTCATGAGTTCACTGCAATCTTTATTTCTTTTAACGAAATAAAATTGACAATAACTTTTTCCGAATACTATTTGTTTTTTTAATTTATGTTCTGTGAAAAATAGTGGTATATGACAGTTCCTTTGGGGGGGGGGCAAAATGGAATATTTTGCGCATTTTTTTAATTCTAATTTTTAAGATTTCTTGAGTTTCTTTTATCCTAACAATAGTAACTGGCAACGTTAAAAATATTCTTAACGCATTTTCCAAATTCATATATGATGGAACTAAATCGTATTCCTGAATTAACTTTAAAACATCTGACCTTACTTTAGCGGCCCCAGAATTTCTGAAATAGAGTGATTTTTAAAACTGTCTATATCTGATGGCACATGTGAAGTATTTACGTCATTTGGCTATTTAAGTACTAAGTTACAAATTGCTTCTTTTAAAATACCTATAACCAATGACATTAAATTCTTAGCAGTTAGAAATCGGAAACCAGAAGGTATCTTGTTAAAGTTTTCGCATCTCTGTTTTAGTTGTCAGCTTAAAATATATGTCACTTCTTTTTTGCCCCCCCCCGAAAAAAATTGAAAAATTAGTTATTTTATCAGTTGATCTTTGACAATCTGATTGTTCAATTTGCTTCGAATTACGTTGTTTTATTCTTTGTTAAAGCTAAACTTTCACATTTGTCAAGAATATTTTCTCGCATTTTCTGTAAAGAAAGAAATAATTCTTCTGTTATGTTTATTTGTTTAATTCTACATGCTAAAGAATACGAGGGCTATTTGTTTAAGGAGAAAGAGGCCTTCGGGGAGAATTTCCTAAGAGAAGTTGATTTGTAACGAAATTACTCATCCAGCTAAGATATTATGTTAATCCCTCTATTAAACTTGCTGCTTTTTGAAAACTTACATTTTTTGATTGGAAATCTTTATTAATCTTTTCTATTCTTAGAAGTATTATATTCATAAAATTTTACATTGATTTTCTTAAAGAGAATATTAGTTTCAATCCATTGCAATGATTTATTAGTTGATGCTTATATCAATTCGAGGCATTAATATGAAACAATAATATATAAATATGAAACAATAATAACAAGTCGAAAATCATATAAAATATGTAACAAAGATTCTTCTGTCTCACTTTAAATATTAAATCGTTAACACTTAACAGATTTTATTTCCTTAATTGTTTAAGCAAAACACGCTAATGCTCAGGTATGTTGCGGCCTTTTATTGCTTTAGATATGACGTTTAAAAAGTCGATAATTTCATCTCGATATATTTCAAAACTGAAATTAACGATCATACTTTATTTTTTTAACGTATTTCGAAAATTTCACACCAAATTTGGGGCCTTTCCCAGCAGTTTACCTAACGCAAGCGTCTCTTTTGCCTAAAGCCTGTTTCACCCTTGGTCCTGGCTCTGCATGTAGCTAATGAATGAACTACAAGTGTTATTCCAACATTTCAAACGAAGAACCTGAGAAATTGAAATCTTTTGACAATTTATATCTTAAAATTATTGTGAATTTCTGTTAAATATTTTAATTGTAATATATCAAAAGAAAAACAGCCAGAGCTTTGAAAGCGCTTTTTGTTTTTTGTATGGATTTTTAAAAAATTTTATTCCTAACCATTACATTTAATAAAAAATATGTGAATTTATTGTGTGCAAAACCACTCTTATGGGATCGGATCACAGCGGTTCGCTCACTGAAATGAATCGGTTCCTTTGTATGACTCACAGTCCACCAACAATAACCTTGATGAAAAAGATCCGGAAAGACTAGAGAATGAAGAGCGGTTAACGAGGATGGAACGAAGAGGAGAAAGAATCGAAGAAATAGCGGGATTAGGACAGATTTAACGAAGCTGGAGCGAATAACGAAAGAATCGGAAGAATTGACTAAATAAAACACTAATTCTATGAAGTGATTTCTTTCAACTGTAGGTCAGAAAGATTCCCTAAAACCTTTTTTCGACACAGAATTAACAATAATTTTCGGGAATAAAAATTTTTCAAATAGTTGAGTACGATTAAAATTAAACTCAAACATGGGAAGATAGATATTCTTTTCTCTCCTAAAACAAAAACGAAAATTCCTGGCACGCTTCCAACAAGAACGCCGTTCTTTTTCCGCCAATCAGGCGCAAACTCGTTTAGCAAAATGAATCAGTTCGTGAACGAATAGCAGTTCCCTAGTCCTGGCATACTTCCAACAAGAGCTCTCTTTCAACTGTAAAAGCACAACCACTCCTTTTCGTAGAATCGGAACAAATTCACTCAGTGAAGGGGAATCGGTTCATCAGAAAGTTCTGATTCGTAAGTTGCTTATAGGCTGTTCTATTCGACACAACTGAAAATTTGCATGAAACGCAGATAAAATTTTTTAATGCAAATGCTCAGTTACGTAAACGACATCAAAGTCTGTAAGTCGGTCACTCACTTTACCTCAGCGCACGTTAATTCTGAAGTTGTTCTATCTTCATCAATCGAACACAACCGCCGCTCTTCTTGAATTTATAAATGGTAACAACATAGTATGTAATTTCCCAACCAAACGGAATAATGTCCAATCAGTCTTGGTGACACATTACTTCCGGCCCGTCGAAAATGTTGGGTACAAGATGCAATGTGTGATCCACTAAAAATGGTCACTTTGTAAGAGGTCAATGTCATCTCCTGAAAAGTGAATTCTTGAATAAAGTGCTATGGTGCAGCGAAATATCATCTCTGTGAATAAAGTACTATGGTGCAGCGAAATATCATCTCTGTGAATAAAGTACTATGGTGCACTGAAATATCATCTCTGTGAATAAAGTTCTATTGGGCAATGAAATATCATATCTTTATACTGTAGTCTCTTCACTGAAAGTATTAAACTGAAATTTCTTCTTTGTTATTGATTTTTCTAGTTCTCAGCTGGGTAGACTAGAATACCGCCTCGTTTTCCCTATCGGCAAATTTTGGAACTAATTTTTTCATGGAATTTTTTTGCCATATCGTCATTAATCCCCCTAACAAATTTCGTGGTGTTTCAGTTGAGAGATCGGCTCTGAGTAGTGTCAGTTTAAAAACAAATATCCTGTACATTATCAGCTAACATTCTACAAGGGGTGATCAAATGAAAAGGTACGAAACGACACGGTGGGTACAAATGTAGACTTTATTCAAAATATACACCATAGCCCTGAGCACAACGATTCCACCGATGAACAAGCCGCAGGATTCCTTGTTCCCAGAATTTCTGTGGCCGTGAGGAGACCCAATCCTTCACAGCGTCCTTGAGTACGTCGTTCGAGTTGAAGCGCTTCCCTTTCAGGTCTTTTTTTCAGTGGACCAAACACATAGAAATCGCACGACGACATGTCCGGACTGTAGGGCGGATGGTCCAACGTCTCCCACTTGAACTTGGCCAGTTCCATGTGTCCAAGATGTATAGACGCGCGTTATCATGGAGCAGAACCACACCCTCCGTGTTATCATGGAGCAGCCCTGGTCATTTGTTCTTGATGGACCTGCGTAGGCGTCGGAGTGTCTCACAAGTACACATCGGAGTTAAAGGCTTTTCTGTGCTCAAGGAATTCCACAAGTAGCGGATCTTGAACGTCGAAAAATACGGTGAGCAACACCTTGCCTGCTGACGGCACGGCTTTGAACTTTTTGGGGAGAGGTAATGATTCATGCTTCCACTGCATGCTGTCCCGCTTTGTCTTTGGCTCAGTGACGGCACCAGGTCTCATCACCTGTGACGATCCGCTCCATGAGAGCGGGGTCTTCATGATACCGAAACAGATGTTGCAATGCTACCCCACACACAGTTCCTTTTGCTGGTCGGTGAGCTGCTTCGGAACCCAAGCGGCACACACCTTCCGATATCCAAACCTGTCGTGAACAATTGTCCACACGGTTCCATAGCTGACATCCACCTTCACTGCCAACAATCGCAATGGGACACGCCGATCACTTCTCCCTAGGTCGTCCACCTTATCGATGAGATCGCCCGTGATGATAGTGTTTGCCTGGCCTGGTCTCGGATCATCACACACACTCTCACGGCCTGCACGAAAACGGGCACTCCATTTTCTTATAGACTTGTAAGAGACTCATTTCTTCCCGTAAACTGTCATCATCCGGCGATGAATAGCTGCCGGTTTCTCACCTTCCGCTGTCAGAAATCGGATAACACCTCGCTGCTCCTCAGTCGTCGAATTTTACAACGCGAACGTCATCCTGTCTTCATACGGACTGCCGTATCATTTGGACGCCGCTTTTGGTAAGAGCCTCTTCTCTCTCCTGCGCATGCTGGGCCCGCGCATGCTTCAATCCCAGTCAGAGACTCCAATCGCATACCGAGATGTCTCGCTACGTTCTCCCATAGCGAAATATGCAAATATTTAACTGTTACGTTTTTACGTCGTTTCGTACCTTTTCATTTGATCACCCCTTATATTATAAATAACTATGAAAATATCTTTAATAAATAAATACTTTAAATTAGGTTAGGTT